CACAAAATCTCGGAATGGTATATGCTATTATTTTTTATTGTTTCTGGAGTTATATACATCAATTCATATATATAGTGTACTTGGTGTTTGACGATCTTTTATCCTCTGTTAGTTTGTAGATAAGGGCAAGCGCAAAATTGATGATACCGACATTATAGTCAAACATTCTGTTGATGAGGCTTCTGACGTTGATGTGGAAAGTGATGACGACGAAGTGTTTCCGAGTGTGTCTACGAGGACTTCAGCCGGTACGTTTGTCAAGGCGATTTCCGGTCTGTCAAATGTCAAGAAGAATGCAGTCCGTGAAATGGGCTTCGGACGTTTGTTGGAGTTGTCCATAACTACAACGCCGTTGAAGATGGGTTTTTGGTTGGTAAACAACTTCAACCACCTGGACCGGAAGCTCCAATTGTACGATGGGGAGAAAGTGCACGTCAAGAAAGAAGATGTATATGCTGTGTTTGGGTTGCCTCGTGGAGAGCTCGAGGTTAATAATAAGAAGAAGCGAGTTACATCAAATATGTTGGATGAGTGGATCGCTCTCTTCGATGTTAGAAGGCCGTCGAACATTACGGTGTCGAAGGTCTTGGATAAGATCAACGAATGCGATGATGGTGGTGTTTGGTTCAAGCGCCATTTCATAGTCCTTATGGTATCGTGTTTGTTTGAGAGCTGTCTGAATGGAATGGCGAAATCCCGTGTAGTGCATGCGCTTGACGATTTATCGGACGTTAGCGATATGAATTGGTGTTCATACATGATTAAATGCTTGGTCGACACAAAGAGGTCGTAGGATGCCAACAGTAAACAAAAGAAGACTTATGCAGGGCCGTTACTGTTCTTGACGGTCAGTCTTATTTCATTGATTTCCCATTATTTATTCATCTCATTCACGTCCTGGATTGTTATTATTATTATTACTATTATTATTATTAATTATTATTATTATTATAATTATTATTATTATTATTATTATTATTATTATTATTATTATTATTATTATTATTATTATGATTATTATTATTATTATTATTATCTATATTTCTTTTTTTTTCATGTTCGTGTATTATAACGACAACCTAGTATTCGTACGTCTGTTGTTGTTTTATTTATTGAGTTAATTATTTTTTTTTTTCTTTTTTGGACTTAGTTATTCTACGTGGACAAGGAAGTGTTGTCCGTGAGATCGGTCCCGAGGAGGTTCCCGACGTTCAGCTCCTGGAGTAACGAGGCCTTAAGAAACAGAGAATGTGACGAGATCGCTTCGATGCCTTCGGGAGAGGTTTCGTGGATGCAGACGCTCTCGATACCCACCAGCATGATAAAATGTGTACGAACTCTGACGACGTCATAGCTGGGGTCCCGGAGAATTGTAGTGTACAGGTAGATACCGATTTGCCTTTTTTATTTCTCTCTTTATATATATTTATATATTTTATTTTATTAACTGATGAAATGTGCATTTGTTTGGAGTAAAATGTGCAAAGTGCAGATCATAAATGTGCATATGTGAATGATGATTGCATACACGAATTGTGTTCGCCTATGTGAGTTTGTGTTTATGTAATGAGGCTGATATCGCATACATATTGTGTAATACACAACGTATACTTGTGCAATTTGTTATAAATAAATGTGCTTGAAAATTTTGTGTTTGCAAAACGCCTTTCTATATCGTTACTTCTCAAACTTATGGCGGTCAACGTTATGCATTGTGATTTTCATCATATGACTTTACCAGTGTTGTTTTTATACCCCCATTTTTTTTATTTACTTGTTTTTATGCGTCCTGATTCCCTCAACCGTCTTAAGTTTATCATTACATAATGTGCATTGTCCGTTGTGAAATTGTGCACTGTGATATGCAGTAGAGTGCATTATTAATTAACTGTAGCATTACATCTTTTCATCAGGCTTATGTTCATGAATTTACGTCTAAAACACGGCTTCTTGCAACTATCGGGGTTGAAATACTACAATTGGTTGAAAAGGCCCCGCAAGTTCTACTTGAAGATGAGAACTTTGTGAAAATGAACGAGGCGGCGCAAGAGCTTCTTGGAGTATACAATGAATTGCCACATAGTGACCCGAACCATCCCGTTAATAGTCAGGAATGTGGCCCAATCGGAAAAAAAGGATGACGTAACATATAATACCATTAGGGGTGGCGTTTCACAGCAGACCGACGATGCATTCTGGAACGCTCCTGATACATTAGCTGCACTTGATGAGGTTATGAATGCAATTGAACAGCGGGACCGCTTCAAGAGGATGCACAATGAGGGGCCCAGTTACAGCTTGGGGTTGGGTTTGACTCCAGATTATGTTGTTGCCGCCGACGACGTTGATGATGGCGCGCGTCAGCGTACGAGTGTGGATAGAGATAAAAACATAGCTGGGACGTCACTTACTGTGGATGCGCAAAGAGGTACCTGCTTTAATAAATGCATATGTACCACGTGGTAGGTGTAGAGTTTGTAGTGCATTTCTGTAAACATCTTGGCGATGCTGTTTTAATACATTTATTTTTTCATTTACGAAGTTGCGTTGGTTTGTCTGACAAGACGATGATAGTGAAAGTACCTGGGCTAGAAACCGGCAAATGTGCAACTACAGGTACACGTTTAATTGACGTCATTGTTAACGCACCAAATGTGCTTATTTTTTTTCCTCTTTTGTATCCATGATTTGTTTGTTTTTACATATATATTTATATATGTTTTCCAATTTTCATTTTGTTTTTTTTTTCAGACAATGCTGAGGTTTTGGATCGTGTCGAGGCTGCAGACGGGACACCGAGGCCGAAAAGGCATACTAAGGTAGAGAGTATAATCAAGTCTCCGTTTAAAGTAAGGTCGATTAATGTTACAAAGAAACTTGATGCTCACGAGAAAATGCTCGCTAACTGGGTATTGAAGAAAGACGATGAGGACGGGTATGATTTTACGTTTCGTTGTGTTACTAATATAACGTGTCAGCAATCGAGCGCAATAATATACAATCGCATGATGTTATATTTGTATCATTTGCATAGCATTCTAATTTCTTATGTATGTTGTATGCATGGTTATGCTCACGATCAGCGATGTTATCATTTATCAATCATCCGAGTTTTCTGCGAAGAAACATGTTGTGTCATGCTTGCTGTCAGATTCGGCCATCACAAACGAGCTTCTAGACTTGTGGTCGTGCATTCTGAACAACAATGAGAACTTCAGGAGTCGTGGCACAGCTACGTGTTTTTATGCCTCTACATCTCTATGTATCGAGATATGCAATCTTATATTATGGTAACGTTATAAGCATGTACCCACTTGTGAATACGATATGTTTAATCGCATTCATGTGGCATTGCCCGTTTGCAGCTATTATATGACGGAAAGCGGAGAAAGGACGTTGGCTACAAAAAATTTGCACAGATGCTAGATTCTGAGATCAAACGATTGTCCATCTATAAATTAAATGAGATATCCTTGGTAAATGAATTCCTGAAGAAAACCCCATATTTGTTACTTGTTTAATTTTTTTTCCTTGATTTTTCCTCTATCTTTTTTTACTTTTTTTTCTCTTTCTATTTTCTCAATGTATACAGAGTCATATCGTCTGCTATAAGCTATCAATGTGTGGCAATATTGATTCATATGCATATGTATGATTTGTCTCATGCGTTTATTGGTGCAGCTTTTGTTTCCTGTAATCTTGGCAAAATTTTCGGGCTTGCTGTGTATGGCGCCGGAATCCCAAAAGTTCACAATTTTAAATAGTGCGAGCACTTGTAAAGATGCAACTGTTGAGAAAATAATCATGTCTCGTGTCGAGCTCTTGGTAACGTTATAATTTCTTATAGTGTAATCGAACGTTTTTTATATAGTGTGATATAATGATTATGTTTTCAACTACCCACAGCGGCAATCACTCTCGAAGTATCTAGGCGAGAGGAGTTTGGTAAGAAGGTCCAAATCTGTTGCTCTGTCTGTCCCTGAGGTCGTTCGCCCAGCCTGGATCAAGGATCTTGATGCGGCAGACGCCGGCGTGATCACGATGCGCCATATGGAGACGTTTAAAGGTGCATTTACCAAAAGCTGTAGTCCACATATCAAGACCAGAGACAGAGCCAGATGAAGCTATGAGGAAAAGATATAGCTGCGTGATAGCATGTGCCCCGAATAACGGTCTAAAGGAACCAAGCCTTGCAGCTGCGAAGAACTACCAACCCCTGCATATGGCGAAAAAACAAAAAAAAAAAAACAATGTAAGTGCGGGCGTCTATTGAACTAGCTGGGTGGTCACGCTTTTTGCGTTAGACCCGTTTTGATGCCATGTTAATATCAAATTTAATCGAAATGTGTACGTGACGGAACTTTTGGTGGTCTAGTATGTGTTTTTGGGTATTATGCTAACAACTGTGTTTGTTAGAGCTCGTCTGTATCGAGACTTTTTTGT